AATCACAAATCCTGTATCCGCCGATGATAATCACTTGAAGGTATCAATTTATCAAGGTACCTTAAGACAAAGAAGAAAATAAATACTGTAATCTGTCCTTGATACTCTTGAAAATAAATGATCTTCCCTTGACTGGCATGAAAATAAATAATCTGTCTCAACAAAATTTGCCAAACCCCCCCCCCCTTCAGAATCAAATAGTCATCCCTTAAGAGGAACAATTTCTACAAATTTCAAATTTCATCGATACAAACATTGAGATATTTCAGACAACTGCTTTTTTTATGGAGGAGGTGCAATGACTTGATTTTTTTTGACGAATGAAACAATACGTACACTCTCTTCTTTGTGACCTATTCAACTCAACTTGAATTCTTCTACAATTAAACACAATCTGGACAATTTACTGTTCTCTCACATTCTTCCAGGGACGTAGCAACAACGGGGGGGGGGGGGGGGGGGCACGAAATAGGATTTTCGACTTTGATGAATATAATTTTCGATTTTTTCTCCCTTATCAACTTTTTCAGGTAAGTGAAAAAAAATTCTCTGGTTGGCCCCCCTACTTTCAAAAACGATGCTAAGTGCCTGTCTTCATACTTTGAAATGAAATATTATTGTAAATTTCAAGGGCAAAGGTATTTACATGTATCATAATTAATTGTCCCCCGCTTAAGGTCATACGCAACGTAGTTTGAACATTATTGGGTTCTTCCCTGGAGTGGAAGAGTTCCACTAAACGAAGGACGTGTGTGCAATGCTTTACATGTCTACATACAAATTTATACACCTCTTCTAAAACAAATTTGATAGGAAAAAAATCTGGAATTTATGTTTTGTAATTTTTGTATATTTTTCTTTGAATAAAGCTAAAATTTTCATAATTTGATATCTTCCCAAAAACCCTGGTAATGCATGTTGATTTTTTGCCTGTGAACATCTGATGTCAATATAATCTTTAATTAAGAATATCTTGAAAAGTTATCAGTAGGTAAATTACGTTGCGAATGTCCTTAAAAAGTGGAGGATATTAATTTGGGTCTGTCTGTCTGTCCGTCTTTCTGTCTGTCTGTCTGTAACGCCTTTGTTTCCACACGATATCTCGAGAACCCTTTTAACTTTTTACAATTTAATTTTACAGAACAACTCCCTGTGGCCGAAGGAATTACCCTATTGATTTTAAAGTCAAACGTTCGAAGTTCATGGTTGTAAATTTATACATTTTGTCTGTGTGTAACACTATCCTTTTCAGGCGATATTTCAAGAAGATTTTGAGCTTTTGCAAAATTCCCTAGGACCTCTCTCACCCTTCTCAAAGTCCCCCCGTTTGTTTTATTAGTATTTATTGTATTACATGTCGCTATTTTCAGCACAGGGGCATGAGGAGACTTATAACGTATAAAACAGGTTCTCGGCGGGTTTTATATTCTTATTACATCTATTAGTGTTCATTAAAAGTTAAATTAGACACCATGCATTGTATAAAATTATGACAATTATCGAATGTGAATATAAACATGTATGTGACTTCATCTTTGCATATAATTATCGCCAGGTAAAAGCGGTTCCAATGTGTAGTGATACGTTTCTCGCTTCCCATGTGAGAGGTCCCGGGTTCGAATCCCGAACGATCCATTTTTTCCGATTTTTTTTTTTACTTAATGATAGTTTTCAGCATGTAAAATGAAAAATTTATGAGGAATGGCTTGTACAAACTCATAAAATCATCATCACAGTGTGATAATTATTCCACATAAAAAGAATCTTCTATACACATAAAAAGAATAAGCAATCAAATCTTTATAAATATCCATATTGGCATATTTTATTTGCTTCAGTATACATGTATACTAGTCCGAGATTTCCCGCACAAGTCACAGGCGCGTAGCATCGTTTTTGAAAGGGGGGGGGGGGCAGCGAGAGAATTTTTTTTTACTTACCTGAAAAAGTTGACAAGAAAAAAAAAAAAAAAAGGAAAAAGTTTGCTTGAAGTCGAAAAAATCCTATTTCGGGGGTAGGGGGGGGGGGGGGGTTTTCCTCACTCAACTACTTTCAGTACCAATTCTAATACTACATTTGCAGTTCATTGTTTAGAATCAGAGGAATCTCGGATTACATGTATACATTTGATAATTCTACAAATTCAGTCAAGGGGATCCGTCTCCCCACCTACTCTAAAACTACATTTGCAGTTCATCACTACAAGTGAGGGGGCCAACCACGCTTTCAATTGACATTTCCTATAGTATGAGTAAGGTTGGGAAAAAAGTGGGGGGGGGGGCAGGGCCCCCTGCCCCCCCCCCCCCCCCTGTTGCTACGCCCCTGAGTCATAATATAAAAGCGGGGTTTAGAATCAGAGGAATCTCGGATTACATGTATACATTTGATAATTCTACAAATTCAGTCAAGGGGATCCGTCTCCCCACCCCCTCCCCTCGAACTGCGCATTGTTTACATTTGCCCTTACGGAAGACATATAAATTCTCTGAATTAGCTTGTTTCAACTTTACGGTGTCCCAGGCTTGACAAAAAAGACTTAATACACTCTGAGAACTTCAAACATGCTAGACGTTTTTCAGTGCTTCTGTCACAATCAACTACACGAGATATTCCTCTGTTTCATGACACGGAATCTAGGAAAATTTATAAAAATCACATCCTTGTGAATTTTTACTCATTTTGTTTGCATTAAATTGTGAGTTTTTCCATAGAAAGTTGACTGCTTTTATGTGTCATTATTAATTTCCCCATAGACATTGTCCAGTGCAATTATTTACCTTTAAAAAAGGAGAGTTGCGCAAGGGGACCTAACTCTGACTAGGCAAATGCAAAAAAATCTAAATATTAATATTAGAATTAAAGGCATTTAAATGAAAAAAGATTTCTTTTTTATTAATAAACAATTTCTAAAAATTTATTATGTCATGAAAATAACATTTAATCATTTATGTAACATTTTTTAGCATGAAATGGCATGTTTTAATTTAAGATTAATATTGAAAAATTCACCCGTAATTGGAATTTTTTTCTGTGGTGCAGAGTTGTTTGCCAACGACAATTTTTTAATATGTTTTTCTTCTATATTGAATAAATTCAAAACAGTATAATTCAAATAAAAAAATCATCCTCGCTTCAAGATACGATTAACCAAACTTTGAAAAAAAAGCCTTGATTGCTAAAATCTAGATTCTTTGTATATTCCCTGATATAATGTGGCTAAATACAAAATATATATGTAAATTTTTTTTTACAGAATATAATTAACTACTATTGCACTTTCATAACATATGCAACATTGAAATAAAAATTTTAGCAAATATGTTTAAAAGAGGCACTTAAAATGCATCATTTTCAATGAATGCCAATGCTCGTTTTACACTTTTTTATAGGAAAACAAATAATCCCCGTTACTAAAAATAGAAACAACTTACGACAAAATATAAATCATATTTTAGGTCATTTGGACCAAATCTTTATTTGTATGGGTCACTTTTAAATTTACTACGATAATGCATCTGGACAATTTTTTTCAATTTGCATGGTTTTCTCTGAGACAGGCACTTAAAAGATTTAACCTCGACCATAACTTTTAAACAGTTAAAAGTAGGCTTTAGAACATATTACACAGGTGTATTTCTTATAACTTGACCTTCCTTTGGGTACCAACAATTTTCACCTTTTGGTCATGACCTTTGGAGTTTGAGATGCATTTGAGAAAATCTAACCTTCGACATAAGCTGCCATTCAGGGGCATCGATGTTTCACAATAACATCTAGTTTTCTTTTTTAATTCATGTAATTGTTTATTTTTTTTTTATAGAGACAGTCCGGTTGTTTCACTCACTAATCGATCAATATATAGAATTTTATAGATACATGACAATGTTCAGGATACCGAGGTCTTTCATAACAATACGAACAGTACATTTTATTTACATATCTATATATGTATCTATGTATGTAATACCAAGTCCTCTCAAGTCATAAATGAAGTCTGCAGTACTATTTTCTGGTCAAATTCGTGACCAAATTCATTCTCTTCAGTATGGTTATGATTCAATATTTTTTGACGTTTAAATGCTCCTGTTCAATAGGCGTCTGATATTTCTCTCGCCTTTGTGTTGCTAACTATCAGGCCAAATCGCTGGGTTTGACTCAGCACACTAAGTTACTATACATATTTAAAGTTTTATGGGATGTAGCTTCTCTTTATACAATACATTGTCGATGACTTGCTTCAATTTATATAGCCGTACTAACTAAGCTGGTGCAGTAGTGTACATATATAATATTTACTATTTATGTAATAGTACAATTCTCAGTCATCCTTGGGCTTTCGGGAAGGTGTGGCATTCTCGGCACTACGTAACTAGTGTCTCTCAAATGGCGAATAGATTCTCATTGGTTAAGAAATTAATAACATCAGGAAGACAGGAACTATAAATTGTTGTTGACAACGATGAGACAACTTAAGCCCCATCTCTTTGCCGTCCGAGACGCTGTTATTGGATATTTGCTACACTCGTTAACATTCTCCCCACTCTCTATTCCTTTTCTGTTATATTTTTATTGTATATATTGTATTTTTTCAACAGTGAATGAAAGTTGTGTTAATTTCTAATTATGTAATGTCGAGAATACCATGGCTTACTGAAAGTCCAAGGTTAACAGAGAATTGTACTATTTACATATATGTACCATTTCATTTTGTAGTTACGCCAACTCTCAAATTCGAGAAGTTCTCCGATCTACTCTAGTACATGTATACTTTCAACACAAAAAACCCCTTTTTTCCGATTCAATATCTCTGATGTATGGATAAAACATTTTTCAATGATTTGTCTCTACTACAATCAAAAGGCACTTCTACTATCTAAGAATACATGTCCTAGCAATTGTTTCTTTTGGGGTTATTTCATCTCCAAAACCAGCTCATAATTTTAACGCAAAATGCTCTCTTTACCTATAAGTAACCATTCACTAAATTAATAACACTAGTATTAGTAAGATTTTTATTTGCAGAAAAATAAAACTTGACATTTTTATAATTTCACCAAATATAATATTGGTGGGTCTCTACTGGAGACCTAGATAAAATAAAAAATATCTTTATACTTTTTTGTTGAACGCTTGCATCAATAATCAAAAACTGACATACAATATATTGGTAAATAATAATAAAATACAAAACACTATCTAAACATGGAGCTCTATACAGTGACACTAAAGTCCAAGCTTCAGAATATATTACTCTCAAAATCACAACAAGGTTACAAGGATTTTTTTTTTTTTACATAAGTTATTTTTTTAAGTCTTTATATAATACTGTAATAATTTGTTCTCTACTTAAATACACACTTTGATTCCAATAAAAAGCTAATCCGGAGGGATAATTTGATACATTTATATTGTAATTATTTCAAGGCCTTTAAAAATAAATCATTATATTTGTACTATATAATGTTACAGAATATAATTTGGAAATAATAAAACATATTTCATTCTTCTAAATACCACAGGAATGGTCTTTGCAATTACATAACCCTGACCTAGATCCACAGTGACCTTGACCTGAGGTCAAAAAATTCAAAGTGCCACCATTCAATGCCATTCTTTTATATATATAATAAAATATTTTCAGCTACTTCAACAGTCTTCTGTAAAATCTCTTTTGACAACTTGGTAAAATAGAATTTAAAAAAAAACAATCAATTGGGCCAGAACTGAGAAACAACATACTGTAAACATAGAAGACGATTACTTGTGAATAATGGAAATTGCATAATTTATATTTTTCTCTGTACCAATGAAAGGAACATTACGTTTTTGTGTGCGCACAATAAACAATATAATTCAGATCTCCTGGTATACACACAAGTGCATCAATACCATTACATACTTGTATTACGTACATACATGGATACATTATGCATAAAATAATTGTGGTAGGCTACTCACACAGTTTATATTGATTGGATTGTATATAAAAATAAAAGGCAAGAATCCTCTAATTGCAAATCTAAAATGGTGAATATACTTGCTTTTGACATTATGAATCATATAAATTTAAAAAAAGAAAACAATTGTGAGATACTAAAATGAGCATAAAAAGTGTCAGATGAGTGATTATAATAAAATGTCTGACTAGCAATGGGAAAAGGTACAAATAATATCTTTGGTTATCAAGTTTGTCGATTTCTTGCTTGCTTTGAATTTTTTTAAGTATATATACTTGTATGTAGTTTTGAGCAGAAGTGCGTCATGTTCAAGTACCCTGTATTCAATAGCCAAATTAAAAATTAAAGTTTTTTTTCTACAAAAAAAAAAATAAAGAAAATAGATTCAGTAACAATTTCATTTCCTTTTTTCACTCCCCCATCCCTAACCCGCAAATTCACATTTATTATAATAGAAGCATTGGACCAGTTTCTATAATTAGCATCAACAAAATAAACAATCTCTAGGGAACTAACACTAAACATATAAAGAAATTGCAACAAAGAAAAAAATCTGTAGCAAGTGGGACCATCTCATTAAAACCCAAAGGCATACAAATGTAACCTTGCATTTTCTCAGCATAAACTTTTATGTTCCAAGCAACACTTTAGCAGTTCCATGGAAATAAAATTGGCAAACTTAAAACAGAGCACCAAATAGGCATATTTGTATAAAATATCTATAACACACATGCAGTTGGATGACTGCACGACAACACAACCTAGAAATTGGATATGACGTTTACAACAAAATTATTCTATATATAGTATACATAACAAAAATCGTAACTGATATGGCAGGCAGATCTAAATACATGAAGATGAGTGACTTGGGATTACAATTTGATTATATTTATTGCACAGCTGGTTTCTTGATTATGCTTTGATAATATTCAAGAATAAATGCTTTCAATGACTAAATATGATTTTCACAGAAGACTAAAAAATTCATGGTGATGGGATATTTTTTTTTATCTGTGCAAAGTTAATTTTTGGCAAAACTGATTGAAACCAAGGAGTTCATATAAAGTTGAAATGTGTTTGAGAAATTTGTAGACAAAGGGGCCACATGCTTAGGATACATATACCATAATGGAAGCTGTAAAGTCAATATCACATATAATACAGTCATATATATATAAAAATATATTTCAATGGGAACATATTGTAAATTTATGCACACTAGATACACATGTAGAAAAATACTCCAAGGACTTGGGAGTTTGTGTCCAAGTTTGATCTTGACCAGCAATCATTCTTAATATACTCAACAGAAAAGCATAAAATACACAATACATATATAAGATACATTATATATAGTGTTGACATCGATGGACAGCAAATCTCACACAAACAACTCAACAACAACAAAAATTCTGGATTGGTGCTGTTGAAAAATAAACTATTTTCTCAATTTCATTGCATATATATATATATATATATCAAGTTAAGAGGGATATAATTCACAGCAAGGTTTGCTCCTGTGCATGAAATGAAAATATAAACATTTTAATATTACCATTTTATATCTATATAGGTTGCAATGAACACATGATATATTATCTAACTCCGTACAAAAATAATGGGGAATTCATCCTTGAGAATGTTTTGGGAGACACACTATTACATTCATTGATTCACTCAGATACCAGGGTGGCAATGTTGACTGGTGCACATTAAATACTCAACTTAATCAAAAAAAAGGTATAAAAAAAGTGACAATTGTAAAGCTACTCTTCTTGGCTATTTTTTCCTAATACATTCAGGCTCTCTCATAAAACAACCAATACTATAGTTAACAATGAGACATTGGAATATAAAAATAAATTCATTTGCAAATAAAAAAATTAAACTACTGTGCTCACTTATAATAAGATATAATAACTAATTAAGGCTAGAAAAATAATAACAGTGTTTGAAGCCTGCTGTTCATTTGGTCCACATCATGCAGGAATCAACATGGCTGACTTTGGCTGCTTGTTGTGAGGTATGCCGTGAATAGCTTTCCAGTCTGCCAAATCAACGTCAGGCTTTCACAAGGACTGGAGTAGGTGGGAGCCTAACCAAAAGGAAATCAAGTCCATATCTGCATTGCATAGCACTGCCTGTGTTTTTAGTTGAAAGAACCTCACTGACAAAAAAATCACATAATCTCAAATGTAACAAACAAAATGGAAATTGTTTTGATAATTTGTTCTTTGGATTTTCTACGATGATTGTTTGTGTTTCACCAAATTATTATGAAAATATGCGCATTGCCTGAGAAATGGTTTGGCTGCAGACTGGGCAGCTTCTCTCGCTGACTGGTTTCTCCACGATCAGGTTTGCACATTCCATGCAGAAAAGATTATGCCCACATGGAACAAGAGCAGCCACAATTTCACTATCTGAACACATTAAGCACTGTCGGCGTGGGCGACCATTTACCATGGGAACCTGCACAGGAATGGAGACACCTCCTGACGTTTTCACATGGGAGGCTGTGGTAATAGCTGGTGATAAACTGGTGACCAGCGCCATATCCATCACGGAGGTATGCGGGAAGTTTGAGCCCTGGGTCCCATTTAAAGATGGTTTGAGCAGGCCTGTGTTTCCCATACCTTCCAAGAGGCTAAGAGGTGGAGATGGGGGATTGCTGCTTGAATTCCCATTGGATGAACTGTTGGGCGAGTCGGTGATAGAAGGAGACATCTGTCGTGGGGTGCTGTTTCCAAGGCTACTTGGGCCACGATGAGGGTTGCCAGCACTAGTGGTAAAGACACTGGTTACCAGATTTGAGTTGTCCACATCAGACCACATCGAGTGAGAGGGGATGAATGGGTCGAAGGATGGGGATCCACCTATTCCCTCGTCGTTGTCAAAACTTCCAAAACAGTTGAAAGTTCCAATCATATTTCCCAAAGCAAAATCATTGATCTTCGGTCCACTGACTGATGGAAAATTGAAAATGTTGGTGTCACCATTGTGAAGTGGATTTCCATTCTGGAGATTGTGAAAATTATTCAGAGCATTCATTCCATTATGAACCTTGCCAAAACCAAAGATATCTGAATTTCCGTGCAATTCATGAAAACCAGAGTCTATGCCATTGGTTTGAAAATCATCCTCATTCTGCCCATCAATAACACCTCCAGTACGGATCGCAATGTGACTTTCTATTTCCATTTTGGCTTTTTCCACATTCTCTGGTAGTCCTGTGACTTCAAACACGGGTTCCTTGTCACGGCTGGGTGTGACAATGTATGTGTGTGTCTGCTGCTGAATCCGTTTGATGGTGGCTCCTTTTGGTCCGACGACGAGTCCCACCACGCGATACGGCACCCGTACCTGGATGGTCACCTGTCCTGGTGTGCTTGGGCTGGGTGGACCGTTCGGGCCAGCGGTGGTTACAGATGATGAACTTGACACACTGCTGTTTCTACGTGATGCTCTGATCTGACTGAAGTGTTCAGCTGCTGACAAAATTTCTCGTTTTGCCATGCCAACATCTTCCTTCCGTCCTGTGACGACAAATACCGGCTCCTCGCCGCGGACTGGAGTCTTAATGTAGGTGTTGGTCTTGGCTCTTAGGGCTTTAATCTTGCAACCTATGGAGAGAAATATAGAATTAATGTCTAGCATATATGAGTCTCTGGTTGATGTTAAGAATGACAAAGATTCACATATTCAGTCCAAAAATCAATAACAAACAAAATGTTACTGGATTCCTGTCTATTATTAGAGTTAGTTAGAATGCTTTTGACAATAATTGAATATGAAACTGGACAATTTACTCTGGAATGCCAAATAAAATTGATTTATAACAATAAATAAACAGCTATTCTGCCCTGGTTGGTGTATTGGCAGCAAGTATACACCAGACCTCACACCTGAAGCCCAATAAAACAAAGGATACATTGTAACCTGGTAACTTCACCTCTGTGTTAGTCTGCCATTTACCCTGGGAGCTCTGGCTCCAATTACTTTGTGTGCACAAAAATATGTGCCACAAGTCCTTCATTGTTTACAAGGGATGGTAAGGAACCAGATGTGGGTTACATAACATGCACAAGGCTATACAGTCTAAGGTGAAAATTCAACTCGCAAATCAAGGGCAACTTTCTTTCATCTGTACTGACTGTGAAATGTGTGTAAAAATGTTTTCTGTCTGTACAGAATAAATTCCAGAGCTTGTTTTAATGTTTAAGCAGAATTCCTTATCTTTACACTGACTTTTACATCATGTAGCTCTCTCCTATCAAAGTTCAGTCCCCTAATCACAAATCAAATGATTCATCCTATGTCTGCTGGAAATTAAGCCATTTATTCCGCCATCTTTATACTGACCTTTTGCCAATTTGTTTCTTGAATAAGTCCCAATATTAACATTCACACACAAGGGCTCTGAACTTATTGGCTGTTTTAACTAACTTAAATCTGTACTCAGTCACAGTAACATACAGAGAACCTTATCTTATCTCAGACACAGGAAATCCCTTAACATTTGAAAGATTTTTACAGACACCCAAGAATTGCTAAAATCTATTTTGAAAACTTTATCTTGTTTATCCAGAGATGATAAAAATGTTTTTGATGAATGAAATCTATTTTTTCAGTTTAGTCAAAAGTCAAATAATCACATATAAAAAAAATTCTAAATATAAAAACCAAGTGCATGTGTAACAATTACTATTAAATCTACACACTTCTAAAATCTCAATTGTTACAAGAGGTTTCAGGAAATGCTTATTGCATGTCCTGCTTCTAGCAGGCTCTTGATCAAGTATATACAAGAGAATATTCTTGACCCTGAGAATTTTACCAGAACAGGAAAACCGGGAGTTGGCCACTTCGAATGAGCACAACATCCGAGTATTAATTAACAAATCCTTTTACTTATTGAAGAATCAGTCTCATCCATAATAATGTTAACTTTCAATACAATGTAAACCTTTGTTTCACTTTGAATTTAAATGCTGACATATTTATTCAGTATCATCTACAATGCTACTTTCAATATCATTGCAACAGCATGACATTCCATTAATGAAATTGTGGCGATTCATAAATGTTTAATTACAATGGCTGAACCCAGAGTGACTAAACAAAATTTGAAACTTAACTTTTCACAGAAATATATGCGCAAGTACACTAGTGCTTAGAAAACTCTGAAAATTTTCTACACCTGTATTAAAGATTATTTATAAATGATGAAATTAAAACACTTTATTCTTAAAAATTATGTACACAGGTGCTACTGTTTTTCCTCATGTTTCTTTATTCCACCGTTACATTATGTTCAATCATTCCGCTTCCTTTCGGGTATCGAATTTCAAATCTTATCACCACGTGCTTGCCAATATTTTCTTTGTTCATTGTTATTTCATGCGACATGTCAGCTGCTAAAAATAGCGTTTTTCTCAGCAAAATTTCTCGAAATCTATATTTAAACTTTATTAATCATTATAAATGACAAGCAATTGTGTAAATTAACAGTATATTTAGTACACGTGCAAATGAAATATATCGCGCGGCAGTCAGGCGTGACCGATAAACAAGGACTTCCTCGTGGTCGCATGTTTTTACGAATGTATGAAATTCACAACAAACTCACCTTGTCTTCCAACAATTTCAGCTACATGTTCCGAGCTCGGTACAGGTACACATTCCGTCATGTTGGCACTACGTTTCCTCGCTGTTTCAGAGTCCATGGTTGATGATGCGAGATTTGGAACCTCTTCATCACCATTCATCCGCAGAACCGAGAGCTCAAACGCAAGTTGCAGTGCACGATGGTCTTCAGGAATTTGGTTTGCATTCACCTCCGAAAACATATTAGCTGGCATCTTTGTGGACGTCTGGTTGATTATGCCAAGCATGTGGACTGTTTCGTTTCATAAATATTCTTCGTTGTTTAGTAAAATCTTTGTCCGCTACAGTTTAAAGCGCGCACTTTTACCTTTATGACTCGATTCTTCACCGCACAAAGCAATATGTCTCATTGACGTCATTTTCCCCAAGATTCCGCCAAGATCGCCATCTATGCGAGTCGCTGATTGGCTAATTTCAATTTATGGGCGGAGCTTTTTTCCCTTTGACCTCACGATACAATAACAAAGCGAGAACAAGGGCGCGTTAAGACTAACGACGGATTAACAAGGGTGATCAAGATTGCCGAAGTTGAATTCAATGATTCAGTCGCTCAGATCGATACTTTCAGATGCATAAGTTTTTCTTCTTAAATTGTAAATGCCCATTTTTAATTTTTTTTATTATGTACGAACGACTCCATGAGTAATTATCTCTTATTTTAGAGTAAAAAAAAAAAAAAAATCCACACGAATTTGTTACATAGAAAATGCATTGATTTTGAAAGAAATAGTAATTAACAGAATGAACACAGATAGTGAATTTTAAATAAATTAAACAACAAATGAATAAAACAATGTATATTTCATAACATCGATATCATACACTGAGAGATGGCTAGTACTTGTACGAATAAGTATTACTTGAATAATTTATGTCTTTCTACAGCAGATGTAATTTTCTAAGTCCCTTGTCTGCTTTTGAATGAAACATGATGGCAATTGCCTTTCATGGTATAATTAGATTAATATGCATACGATCATTTAAACAGCTAACAAAAAGCTTTACGTGGCTTTACATTACGAAATTAGACATCCGATACACACGCAATATTTGTTTGAGTGCTAAATAAACAATAGGGTTTATTTATCTAGATACTACATGTACATGAAGACAAATCTGATTTAAAAAAAAATAGATGTTGGTTACGCTTCATAAAGTTTCACAAAAAAGTACAGTATAATATCAACATATGCATGTAGACTAACACATGTAAGTGTAAAAATAAATTGCACGATTTATTTTTATAATATCACCTATTACAAATATGATAGTGGAGCACAAAATAAATTAAAAATAATTAAATGTTTATCCCGAATTCCTGGAAGGAAAGGTGTAAAGTGTCTGTCACTTTACAGTAGTTATATATAACAATTAAATAAGACTGCGACCCGTGGGAGAGAAAAACGCGCCAAAAGAAACAGGTGTTACTAAACATGCAGTCATCACGACAAAGAAAATTACCGTAAATGGCACCATTTTACCTTCCATTCGGACCGGTTCCATAAATAATCGCTTACAAGGAACGGCCAGTCGTGGTAGGGTGAAGTTTCCGGGAATTTGAAAAATAAAAGTGTTATAATCATCCCAACACCCCTGAAATAAATAGGCGAAATTGGAAAACGTACGTTTACTTGTGTCTTGAATTTACAATTTCATTTAATGAGTTCATGACTATATGATTACTTTAGAAATAACTTTCACTAATAAACTTTCTATAAATAATAAAAATAATTTATCTATAATTATTTCAGTATTTATGATAAAGAAATTTAGAGAATTTCAAATTCCTTCTCATCAAGTGCTTACCCCCTCCCCCCTCTCCAATATGTATGTAGAAAAAAAAATATTGGGATAAGAATAAAACAGATTTACTATTTTATTGACAATAAGTTATTCTCATAAAATGACAGTCATAAAAGGTTAAGTTTGGGAAAAAAAACTGGAAGGCATGCCCTTCTCCTTTCCCCTCACTTTCTAATACTAAGTGCCTTTTGGTATATATATATATATATGTATATATATATATATATATATATATATATATATATATATATATATATATATATATATATATATATATATATATATGTATATATATATATATATATAAGTACCAAATCTATTTTTTAAGTAAGTAGCTTAGGAAGTTATATTATTTGCGTTAACACGTGGAAAAATTCATAAAGAAAATTTGTTGGTATAGGTGTGTATCTTATCAGATTGAATTTGCCTCTTTCTTGGAACATTTGTAAATATTTTATCTGTCTTTGAGCTCCATCTCTCACGTTCCCAGCTGCTGGTCGTAAGAATCCTTCTTAAAATAAAGCATCATCACATCATAAAAGATTTTATCGCCGACTTGTTTTTTTATGGCCTGTATCATTCCATGATCGATAACTTTATATCTTAATTACTTTGTCGAAATAAATTTAATTAGTCTTGAAATATTTTTTAATGTTGATCTGAAAAAGTATTTGAGGATTCGTTATTGAAAATTGGAAAATTCAGGAAACACTTAAAAAACCATCATTCTAAATGACGCAGCCTAATAAGGCTGATTTAGAAGTTTGAAATTAAAATTTTAAAACAAGATATTCCAGAAAAAGATAATAAAATCCTATGGCGGGAACAAGGAACATAATTTTCTTCTTTGTAGACAGTTGTATCAGTATTTTTTTTTAAATTATAATTGGGAGGGGGCACTCTAGTTCCGGACAGATTCCAGTGGCGGATTTAAGGGAGGCGGGGGCACCCGGCGCCCCCCCCCCTCCCCCCTATATTGTCAAAGTTAGCGTAAATCACAGTTTCGTCTAGAAAATGTAAAAATGTCTACAGGATAGACCTCATTTTAACCCTAAAAAATCTCTAGAATCCAGGAGCTTCCGGGGGCTTCGCCCCTTGGGCCCCCACCAGGGTATTGTCTTGGCCCAACTGGGGCTTCAGGGCGGCCCCCGGACCCCTGCCGACTTTTAGCGCCCCCTCTAACTTCAATTCTTGGACCCGCGCCTGGATTCTACAGATTAACTGCTAGTCGTTTACTAACATGCAGATGTTAGAAACAAGATTCTCAGTAAAAAATAAAAATAGGAATATTTTACATTTTAAAAACTTCAGACTCCTATGAGTACACTGATGACAAGCCCTGCCCCCTCTTAATTAAAATTACCAAGGATGAACCTCGACATTAGTTCAATATATTCGATACTTCGGTAGACTATTATGATCCAATGACTTTAACATGGACAATTAAATGATATTTCTTCAAAGTTTCTTCATCATAGATTGTCCCATATCGTTTCTTATCATTCCTATTTCATTCAAATTGTAAATATGAAAAAGTTAACTAATTAAATTAAAACTCAAAATTAATAAAATGAGGAAATCAGTTGTTTTCCAATATATCGATGAGTATTACCTCATCCTATTGACTGTTAAATGTAATCGTCTAAGAAAGGGCAATAATTATGACAAAACTTTGTCGATAAAGTAATTAAACGATCGAATCCTACAAGAAAGAGCTCTAGGATCGAAACGGTTAAATTTGTGGACCTACATGTTTAATGGCCTTGATTTTAATTTACAACTCTTGAAATCAATCCACTTGCTTTAAGAAATCACGGCTGTGATTTTAATTAAGAGATTCTGTAGAGTAAGGCTTTACATTGGAATTTCGTGTTATTGATTGGGAAAATGACAAATTAGTTGCATTCATTCTAAATGACGAGTTAGCGATCCCTGTTTGCTAAGTGAAGCCAGGGGGAATATTTTAATTTAATATCTAGCTAATATCAGACCATAGCGCACATGAGACTGGCGGATGACCGAAGACCCACGTATCGATTCGCAGACATTTGAGATTTCACTTCGAACCCGACACATTTGTTTGTTTATATCACGGGATTTGGGTATTCCCCTCGAAACCGATTACTCCAGACTTGAACATAATCTGACTAATTACGGAAACATCGACAGATAGATAGATATTATTCTACGGAATTGATATCAAATTGTCATTTATCAATACAAGTAACAAGTCTAAACACTTTATGTTTATCACTTTATACATCTACATATGCATGTGTATGTTTGTCACTTGTATATATTGTACAACCCCTCAAAATAAAGAGATTTCGATAACTTATTTTGTTTACCAATGATCTAACATCATTGAATTTCTTTAAATCATTTCCTCATTTCCGTTTACTCCATTCAAATTACCATTACAATAGAGAAGAAACCCTTTTACGTGAGAAATGTTTGTATTCAGGGCCAACTTTCAATGGAACCCACCCTACACGAGAGTAATTCTTTAATTTATTATTCATTTAATTGCCGATTTGTGTTGTGTGATGTCGCTCCAAACAGCGGGGTGCAGGCTCCCTTTTTGTTCTCTGATGGCACAGATGTGTGATAGAAAATTAGCGTTACACCACCAGGAAGCGTTGACACGCCGTGTATTTGGCGGGAATTCGCAGAAGACAGGAAATCTCGCACGATGTTCCAGGCGATGCTCCCCGCCGAGCCTTACTATGTCCACTAATATGACGGTGTGTTGTCAGGTGTTGGCGACTTCCTGCTGGTGTATACACATCTATCAAGTGTTTATCTCAGTCAGCAAGGTTATCGTCTATCTGTGTAAATTAAGTAACAATTGAATGATTATACACGGTGATTTGGACACCATTAAAGTTCAATAAGGAATATATTGTCATCAACACATAACCTCTTAGTGATAGCTAGGGATAATCCCCCAATGTATACAATGCTCCCCACTCACCATCTTTGATCACCACATGGTTAACCTGTTAATGGCATGTAAAGGTCCATTTCCAAGAATGATTTTATTTTTAAATGGTAGTTTTACTTTAATTACTCTGAACGATTGTAGCTTATGCAGTAGTAATCAGATAGTAGATGAATATCAGTATATTTTAACTGAGGAAAGATTATTTTTACCAAATAAAATGTTTTACTAAACCAAATATTGCGTATCAAGTTTTGTGAAGTCATGTGCAAAAATGATGTTGATTCTTTGAAACAATTATGTACATTTATTTCTAAAATTAATAGTATTGTCTGTTCTCCTTAATTATCACCTTCTGCTTGACCCACTGTATTATATGTATATATGTTTTATATGTTTCTGTACCTCATGTACCATTACATGGTTTTTAGTGGATAAATTGAATTGAATGTTAATTTTAAAAATCAAATGAATAAAATTTAGGGTATGGTCAGATTTAAATACATGTACTTGTACAGGAATATAACTTCCGATAATTGTCTTTTAATGCCTACATAATCAGAGTTACTGGCTGATATAACATATTCACTATCTATTATGTGGTCTTT